TAAAAGAATAAATAAATTAATTAATTAATTAATAAATAATAATAATAATAATAATAATAATAATATAAAAAATTATAAATAATAATAATTATTATAGTAATATTAATAATAATAATTAATAATAATGATAATATAAAAAAATATAAATAGTAATAATAATAATAATGATAATAATAATAATAATAATAATAAAAATAATAATAATAGACAAAATTGTGAGGCATTCCAATAGGCCTATAATGTTTTAGGTTTACAGGGTATACTTGAAAATAGTGGCCTGTAATATAAGCCGAGAATATAAGTAATAAATTAGGTTGAATCTGTCTCTTATACACATTTAGATGTGTATAAGAGACAGTTATTAGGCCTATTATTAATAATCTTTACACTTTCACAGATTCCATGATTTACACATATATAATTTTTTCGGATCAAATTATTTATAGACGCAACTGCTCTTTGATTTTTATTAACCGAGTGTTTCAGTACATCGTAAGGAGAACTCATTGACAGTAAATTCATGTTTTAGGCCTACTTTTGGGTAACCCTCCACTCGAAAGCTTATAGTTTCAAGTCAAGTCAATGAAAGACCTCCGCAACGATTAAAGCCCGGCTTAGAAAAGTTAAACACGGTGGCATGCCAGGCCTGGTTACTAAATAGAAACACAGCCTGGCTTGAGATAAGCCACCTACTATAGTTCAGACTGGCAGGTGGATAAACCCTGTCAGTTGAGCCAAATTTATCCACCTAGTCTGAACTAGGCCTCTGTCTAAAAGCCCTGTCTGGATTATCACATTTTCTTTAAAAAAAAATTGTGTATGTCCATATATAGTCATATTATGCCTATATTTGGTCATGGTGTCGTGAAGATAAAATATTCTATTGGCTGCTTTACAATACCTTGCCAGCACAAGTAAGTGACAGTGCAAACTGGTACCACAAATGGAACTCTTCAGATGAGAACTTCATACTCCTGTCAAAAGTCTAAATAAACAATACAAGTAACAACAAAATGATAATTATGAAAAATTAATAATAATATAATAACAACAATATTTTAATAATTTATTATAATTTTTTTAAATAATATAAAAATCAAACATCTAAAAATAATTAAAACAATTTTAAAATCTTAAAATAACAAGAGCGACCGCTCATCGGTCCGTGCATTCCTCCACGCTTAAATGCGGTACAGGTGCAAGGGTTAGTTATTATATTGGGTTTTTTGGAAGAGCTAATAAGATAGAAATGTTTAAATAATTAGGATGTTTATTTGTACTAACAAAATATTATTTAGAATGTTCATTTGTACAAAATTAGAACATCTTAAAATTGAAAAAAAAAAAAAATTCTTAAAATTAGAAAAAAAAAATTGAATGCCAAGACGCGATTCGAACTCACAACCTTAAGTTCTTTAGAACACATCCTTAACCGACTGCTCCATCCATGCGACGTGCCCTATTTGTGGTAAGGGCAGTAATGTACAGTCCTTGCTGAATTCACTGTTTTGTAGGTGTAGGGGGAACCCTGGGGTCCAACTTAAAAAAAGGGTGATGAACGTTTGTTAGAAATCACCTCTAATATATGTGTACAAAATTTTCTGCACGTCCGTTCAAAACTGGCGACACTGGACGCTTTTAAAGTTTTAGTAACAAGAATAAGAACAGCAGTGAGGTTCTGGAGTCAGCGTCTTGCGCGAACCCAAAAAATAGAAATATAAAGATAATATAAGCACATTCTGTAAGCTGTGAAGTAGCAGTTTACCAGGGAAGAACTCATGAAGATGCCAATACCTGTCTCTTATACACATCTAGATGTGTATAAGAGACAGGATGCCTACAATAGGCCTACAATTGAAAAGCGATAGGTTTATGGAAGTGAAATATTATTAAAATGATATTGCACAGAATCAGTGAATTGCTATTTACACAAATATATTACCAAGGAGGTGTTTTCTAAACTGAAATAGAAATAATTTAAGATGGTGAACAACAGCATAATCTTTAATAAAGGGGGGAATTGATGACCAAACAGCAGGAAAATTATGAATTTATGTATATTTGTAGCCTATGCAGTGCCTTTAATTAGTAGAGGTGTAGGGTTATTTTGAAATACCATTTTAAACGTTGTGTTATAGTCAATCGAGATCTGCATGAAAGGGATGATCCTACAAATACAGTAACAAGTAGGCCTATTCAATTCCATCCCTTGGTTTGGCAACAGTTGCGTAAAGCGCTTTCATTATTATAGTCGGCTATTCGTTTCCTTCCTGATAAGTGAATGAAAATTAATAAATGGCATACCGACATTGGTGTAACTTCGGTACACCTCGGAGCAACAGATTTCATCATTTCACTCATGAGCAGTCAATATTTGTATACTATTGTCACATGTAGGCCTAATTTTAATAATTATTCGATTGAGTTCTCTATGATTGAGGCTTAATTCCATAACTAGAGTAATTACTTAGTAGATGTTGATGTGTATTATCGATACCCATGTTGACTTTCTATCAATCCAGTACAAGACACGCACAACAAATCGTCCTATCTAAATAGGCATATGGCTATAGGCTTATCCTTTATTTATATCTATAAGCTGAAAATTCACATACGGTTATCACCAGCGATTAGGAGCGCACAACGTGTGCTAATATAATTATTCCATAAAAACCCAATTTGCTGTTTATCTAACTGTAGAGCTTGTGAGGGCGTTGTTCGGGTCTTATTTTCAGATGTTTTGCATGATGCCTCTTCCCTTCCTGTTTGTGTTTTCCGTCCTCTCAATTTTTCTGTAATTGCTATAATTTCGATCGATTTCCTCGTGCTCAAGCAAGTTTGCTGCCACTTTTTTATTCATCACTTCCATTTTTCTATTCTTTCTAAAAACTCCTCACCTGATATTACACCTCCATGATATTTTATGATATATTTTTAAAATTCGAGCAGTAAGATTTCAATAGCCGTCAGCTATCTAAGCATCTATGGGTGTAGATCATGGGGGACGGTGGAACACGTCCCCCCACATATTTTAAGGGGGAGTGGGGTTGGACCGCACTTTTTGGCGGCAGTGTGATTTCATAAATCAAAAAGAGGAAAATTGTTGAAATAAACTGCATAAATGACCCGGGTTTTAACGAAAGAGTCCTGTACAGCCAGAATACATCTTCTTATTGCAAGATACCGGTATCACTGCCCACGAATATATAAAAAAAAATACCTATATACGTCTTGAGTGCATGTGCTTTTTTGAGAAGTATGAGAAAAAAAGTATGTAAAGATAAGATTGGTTTTCGGCACATGATGTAAATTAAAGTAAAAACATCAAAGACAATAAGTTTTTATTTTTTATGGTGCATCACAGGGATCAATTATCCCTAATAATTGACTAACTTGTTGGCACTTCATTTTGACTATAATGTTGATGTGAAGATGATGAATTTTACTATATAAGAGTGTCATTTCCGGTCATGAGAGAGTACTATTTTCTCAAATTTTCCTGGGGGTTAGAACTGCACATATATGCTAAAGGTCTCTGTGGTATAATGTGTGTGATACCATGGAGGAAATATATTATTTTCTCCATAGTGATACTCGCCTAGCGAAAGGTTGCAGATCCAGCCAGAGACACTTTTTTCATACAACTTAAATTAAAGCACACACACACACACACACACACACCCACACACACCCACCCACACACCTGTCTCTTATACACATCTAGATGTGTATAAGAGACAGTTAGTAGACTCTAAAATCGATAAATAAGCCTTTGAAACCCCTAAGTTGTCGAAATTTTCGGGGGCTTCGCCCCCAGGACCACTTTCGTAGCCTTTTAATCGAAGCTCGACCACGCCCACTTTCCTTTCGTCGGGAAAATCTGACACCTCGTCGGGGGCCCGGCCACCCCCCGTCGGGCAAATTCTGGCGCCACCCCTGGAGCTAAACATTTTTTCCGACCATGTCATCATCATGCCAATAATAATAACAGAACAGTCAATTAATAATAGGGAGATTTCACAACCTTACGAAAACGATAATGAATACGAATACGTCATCGTCATTATCATCATTTGATGACGTATCCATATTCGTTATCGTTTTCGTAATCTTGCGAAAACTACCTTATACTGATTTTAACAAAACCAGCTATAATGAGCTAAGTTGTAATGGTCAACAGATTACATAGTTAAAATTCAGATATTTACAACTTCAATAAAATACAACTCAAAGACCAACAAATGAAATGGTCCAGTAAAATAGATGTAAACAAAATGATTTATATATATATATATATATATATATATATATATATATATTAAAGTTTATCAAAGGGCCGTTCACTATATTTATATATATCCTTATTTTGAGGAATTATTATTAGATAGACATGTTTTCTCTCTCTCTCTCTTTGACGAAGATCTAGATAAGTTAATCCTGTTAATTCATGCAAATTTGTCGCCGTACTTTCTTTGTGTACGAAGGCTGATTATTGCTTTAATAATTAATTACATGACAGTATGCGATAAACTTTTATTGTCAGCACTCTGACGTATAAACTTCAATAATACAAACCAGTAGCTTTCATTTATTTTGTTGTTTTTAACTTATTGTTTTGTTTTGTTTTTTAG